GTCGATGAACTTATTCATGGTTTACAAAACATACCATACAGATGAATCATACGTTTCGGCATGCAATTCGTTTACTGCTAATTCAGACACTAGGTGATATCCAAAAGTAGACTTATAAATGTAGAGTTTACCCGTGTGTCGCTGGTGTGTCCTATGTAGACACAGGGGACACCTCTAGTCCCAACATATGACTCGAACAAGTCTTTGCCGGCCAACAGTTTTATAATTTGATACACGGGACAAAATAATATATGATTTTATTTATAAAAATTGTTGTTAAATTAAGGAATGCACAAATTTAAAATAAAAATACAATATATTAAAAGTAATATGTACAAATAAGTCGCTGGCACGTCTGAAGCTAGCAAAATGCATTGACTAAAATTAAAATATTTAAAAAAAAAAAAACTTCTCTATATATTTCTTGCAAATTATGTTCCACTTTTCCTTGTTAAAATTTGGGCTTCTTTTATGGGAACTCTGGCGAGTATGAGACGTAGTAAAAAAAATTAGGAAAAATAGTTTATAATAATATGTATCATTTATATGCGAAAATTTTAGACTTCCTTTACATTTTCACATCGACACAAAAATTAAAACTTTCCATTTCTATAATACAAACCTGCAATATTTTCATGACTTATTAAATTTTAAAGCATCGACCATGCCCTACAAACCCCCGCCCTACAAATCCCACCCTACAAACCCCGCCCTACAAACCCCGCCCTACAAACCCCGCCCTACAAACCCCGCCCTACAAACCCCGCCCTACAAACCCCGCCCTACAAACCCCGCCCTACAAACCCCGCCCTACAAACCCCGCCCTACAAACCCCGCCCTACAAACCCCGCCCTACAAACCCCGCCCTACAAACCCCGCCCTACAAACCCCGCCCTACAAACCCCGCCCTACAAACCCCGCCCTACAAACCCCGCCCTACAAACCCCGCCCTACAAACCCCGCCCTACAAACCCCGCCCTACAAACCCCGCCCTACAAACCCCGCCCTACAAACCCCGCCCTACAAACCCCGCCCTACAAACCCCGCCCTACAAACCCCGCCCTACAAACCCCGCCCTACAAACCCCGCCCTACAAACCCCGCCCTACAAACCCCGCCCTACAAACCCCGCCCTACAAACCCCGCCCTACAAACCCCGCCCTACAAACCCCGCCCTACAAACCCCGCCCTACAAACCCCGCCCTACAAACCCCGCCCTACAAACCCCGCCCTACAAACCCCGCCCTACAAACCCCGCCCTACAAACCCCGCCCTACAAACCCCGCCCTACAAACCCCGCCCTACAAACCCCGCCCTACAAACCCCGCCCTACAAACCCCGCCCTACAAACCCCGCCCTACAAACCCCGCCCTACAAACCCCGCCCTACAAACCCCGCCCTACAAACCCCGCCCTACAAACCCCGCCCTACAAACCCCGCCCTACAAACCCCGCCCTACAAACCCCGCCCTACAAACCCCGCCCTACAAACCCCGCCCTACAAACCCCGCCCTACAAACCCCGCCCTACAAACCCCGCCCTACAAACCCCGCCCTACAAACCCCGCCCTACAAACCCCCACCCTACAAACCCCCGCCCTACAAACCCCGCGCTACAAACCCCGCCCTACAAACCCCCACCCTACAAACCCCGCCCTACAAACCCCTTCTTCAGCCCCCTACCCAAAATAACAAAATAAAATTTCTAAACCCGACACAACGCGTAGTGATACCATCAAGTAACTGCCGCTGGTCACGTCGGCACACGTTTGGATATGGTTCAATAGTTCTAGTGGCTAGCGGTCCATTTCTTATGTCCCCTCCACCCCCTTATTCTGACCATCCATAGAGTAGACAGGTTCACAGAATGGTGAACGCTTTTTGCTGAGCCAGCATTTTGTTCAAACTATCTGGAACCAAAACTCTGTTATCACAAAATGTGTGCCCCTGGCCAAGATGTCAACCAATATGTTTTAAAGTGTCATGATGTCAACTAAATGTTTGAAATTGTCATGTCAGCAAATGTGTTTTAACTTGACATGATGTCAATCAATAAAATGTCCTCTTGTCAGGATGTCATCTAATATGTGTGTAATTCACATAAACTGAAAGTCATTGCATTCAAGAATGTGTATTGTAACGGGAAATTATATGAGTATTTTTTAAGGTTGTGGGGAATATTGTAAACAAGTGATACATCAAATGTTTGGCTGATGCTGCTGATAGTGTTTATATTTATTAATTTATTGACTGAGTGTGTTGGTATGCAGTGTAATGCTTTTTTTTTTTGTTGTTCGTCCGTCGAAGATCGACTAGGACCATCGAGTCGTCCGGTGACTGATGACGTGCGCGGGTGACTTGTTTAAAGTGAGGAAAAGTTGCGCTGCGTCACCCTCACTCTCTCGTCCGGGCCCAGCATATCCCGTGGCAAGACTCTAAGTCAAGACGACCAGGGATGGGTACGGTTGCAGGAATTGTCATTGTATGCGCCTTACGGGACTCCAATTTCGGGTTTGAATTCAGAGTTTCCTTCTCTTAGATGAATTGCCGACCAATGTTAACGAGTCTCATCCACCCGGGGTGATGTTTTTGCTCCAGACCACCAACTTGAGGTTTGCTCAGTTTAGACCGTCCGGCCACCCAGTGTAATGCGTAAGGTCCATTGCGTGGCACAGTAATTGAGCAAATCAAATTAGCAGTGACATAGGAAAAGGGGGGGTGGGGGCTCAGAACGACACTTTTTTATTATATGGTGGAGGGGATATGGTGGAGGGGAGTACGGACAACTGCAGAGTTTTTTTTTTGTGGTAAAATTGTTATATTTGTTTCAGGTGACCAAAACAATCTAATTCTTTTGCTACACCCCACATAAAAGCACCAACGACGGCCCAAGGCTGCCAGCGTTAGATAAAGCAACCCCCCCCCCCCCCCCCCCCCCCC